GAGTCTTTTAAAGAATGGCCTCTCTGCCTCCTGCTCAGTGCAGACAGTAGTAGTGGTGGTATGTGAGCCCTTCCCACCCTCGTCCATAACGCGAGGCCGTGCAGCGCTCTCTTCAAAGTGCTTCAAAGACAAGTGAGATATTTAAGCCAACATGTGATCCTAATGTCCTCCTCGCCGTCATCTGCCCCGTAATCAAACATGACAGGCTTCATTTACACCGCATTTTTGCTGGAAGTCTGGTTTTTCCATACTTTCAAAGCGCTGTCGGAGGCCTCGCTGAAGAGCCGCTGAAAGTGTGTTGTGGTTATAGTCTTGCATTTATGAGAGTAATAATGATGTGCCCTGAATATTTGATACCCTTAAAAAAACTGTCTATGGAAGTGGCAAAGAGAGGCAAGGTTTAATTGTATAGCACAGTTCATATAAAAGGCAGCTCAAAGTGCTTAACAACAAAAAAATTGAAGTCACACAATCCCTCAGTTGAATGCACAGCTAAAAATAAACTGTTTTTAAACCTGGATTTGAACGTTGTCAGAGGAGAAGCCTGTCTCACATTTTCAGGCAGACTGTTCCAGATTTTAGCTGCATCAATCATGAATGGACTTGAGGACTGTGCTATACAGTATATCTGACATTCAAATAATACCAAAACTTGAATCAGTTAGTGGATTATGGATTAGTTGGTGGATTATTCTTACATTTAATCAATGCATTTGTTCAAGTCTGTGTATGTGGTATTTTTTATATTTTTCTACACTTTTTTATTTTGATAGAGATTCCTTGTTACACATGGGTTGTTTGATTCTAAAATGTTTAAGTTCAAATGTCGCATGAATTTTTAAGTTCATGCGACATTTAAACTATTTTTTATCCATTTCTAAATACGTTTTTGACTATTTCCGTAACTGAATATCAATCAATCAATAATCAATCAATATGGGGCGACAGTAGCTCGGTTGGTAGAGCATTGGCCTTTGGGCCTGGAGGTCGTGGGTTCTAGCCCACCGTGGGACCTACTCCAACTGCTCCCACAAAAAGTCTTCTGTCGTTGTGTCCTTGGGCAAGACACTTCACCCCACGTTGCCTGAAGCCCCTGCTGAAAGACCAAGGCTGTGGCACCACTGCTGTAGCAGCCATCTTCCTGTGGACCCACCACCTGCAGAGGATCAGAGGGACTGGTGCTGTGAGCATAGGGCGGCAGCTCTCATTGTCAGCCCCCCGACCCAGAAATGGACTAATAAAGGGGTTGAACATGAATGAATTAATGAATTAATTAATTAATTAATGAATATCAATCCAACTGTTTGTTCTCATGACAGTTCTGATTCAAGAATTATTTCAAAACCATTCAGAAAATATTACATACATTTTTGTCCTGCTTTTGTCACTTCCTTCACGGTATATATACAATGTACATATCCTCATACAGTTTTAAAATTGGATTCAATATAAAACAAATAGAAAGATGGATGTGGAAGCTGTATAGAAACCTTTGGTCCATAATATATAAGTGCTAGAATTCAAGTTGACAAACACACCATTGCCAAACCAGAGGCGACAGCACTGGTGGTACGCAGATTGCTAAATGTATTTGTACTATCAAAAGTTTGAAAGACATTTTAGGCGGCACTTATTTCTTTATGTATTCATGCTTGTTCAGAATATGTTGTGCTGTATGTGTAAATGTAACATACCAGCTATTAATGTTGTCTATTGCTAGAAGTCGTGTTAGTAATTGCGTTCATCTAAATAAGTCTGATAAGATTGGTTAGACGTGTTTTGTTTGTCTATGTTTTATAGTTATGACTGAAATTGTTAGTTGCGTATTCGAGGGTTTCCAGTCTAGTCTAGAGCGAGACAGGAGTCATGTCGTCTCACATCAATGCACTTATTGTTATATGTCATGTAATCCTAGTCCTAGCTCCTTCACTCTATGACAAAAACACATGTCTTGGTGCATGTATTCATCCTTTAAAAAAAAAACCTTTGTGAGCAGAGATAACCCTTGGGACATATACAAGAGGTGTGTGTGTGAGAGACTTCCTGCTTAATCAGCCTGCGCCCCTGCCGTGTCCCTGTTGTTCCGATGGCCACAGCAGCACTGCAGTATTTCTATCAGATCATCTCCCCTCTCGTCCGCGGCCCTCGTGTTTATGAAAATGATCCGCTCTCGGAATGCCTCCTGCATGCCAACGTGTCACTGTCTTTGCTCATTGCGCACACACATCCCGACGAGTTACACGGGAGAGGTTTGCTGTCATAGGTAAATGAGTAGGTTTTTATTAATAATTACGCACTGAGGTTAAGGCGAGGTGGGACTGCGGCTGTAGTCTTGTCGCCGTTTGGGTGAATATGCTGTTATTATGAGGCGTCGTGTCTGTGGGGGAGATTGGGTAAAAGTGCACAAAAGAATCCTTCACGGGAGCTAATGATTCTTGTCTCGTTTCCACATGGCATCCGCTCACTTCATCATCACAAGAACGCTCTCACTGTGAGATCTCATACATTGGCCCTGCACCATATGCTGAAATATTAGTTAAGACTGCGTTCGGGAGAATTGTTGTATTCATAATCGCCATCTTTTTGATTCTAAGTGAGCCTCTTTGCTGCCATCACCTTTTATTAGCTTGATAAATCACCTCTGTTGTCAGTCAAGCCAGGGAGAATAATTGGATGTGGTTGTCGCCCTGTGTGATGGATTATCAGTCATTGGGGATTAAATTAACAGATAGTGCTCAGACATAATGGTTTTTGTTTTGCATTTTAAATTGCCTGGGAGCCCAGGAAGACCCACTTGGTTTTTATAGCAGCCATGTTCGGACCTTTCTCTGTGACGAATGAAGAAAAACCCATAGGGCAGCCAGTTTATTCATATGAATAGTAGTAAAACATTTATGACTGCGCACAGACAGGGCCATGAATCTGCTAACATGATGTGAAATTGGGGATGGCAATTTCTGATGAAAGCGGTAGACAATGTGAAGAAATGTGTCGAATATTTTTGGGATGAAAACGAGAAAGGTGACCTGACAAGTTGGTCAAGCGAAGTGGCTGCAGCCTGATGTGAGCTGACATCTGTGACCAGCTAGTCAGGACACAAACACATTAGGTACCTCATCCTGGCGTATTTCCACTTTCAAATGTGGATTTGACACAAATGCCTCCACAAGCGAACAGCACAGTAAAAGGCGACCATGGCTGCAGTTCTATAGCACACATTTCTGTGTGGCGTGTTTGCCCAAGCGTGAGAGATTTACCTCCTTCCCTTTCCTCCATCCTGCAGACCCCTCCCGCACCTCCAGATCACATTATCATAATTGTGTCCAGAACATGAGGGGCCAGGGAAGTGATCATGTCATTTTATTTACACCCTGCTTGGCCCTTTTTACAAACGACATGCCACTAACTGCCAAGCGGACTGGGGCCTGATGACATCTTTTGATCAGGCCTGTCGCTGCCTATCAGCGGAGAATGGCAGGTAATGGATATCCAGTGACAAACCAAATCTCTGGGAGGATGGAGAGTGGGGCGCACCTGCCAGGTCTCCATTAGGCTGGCCTCTCGCTGGGCTGCTGCTGACTCTGCCCCTAGGGCCCAAATCACAGCAGCGCCAGCCGCATGGCTGCCTACAGATTGGCTGTTAGCACTGGAAATGAGAGTTATTTCAGCTATGACATTTTTGTTTAGACCGGACGTGTGTGCATGGGGCAGTTTGGAAAATGAAGAATTTAACTCTGCATGAGTTTGGAGAATGGGTCGGTACTGCTGGTCGGTACGGCAGCCTGCTCCTGAAGGCCCTGTGTTTGGTTTGGTTTGTAGTCATAATAATGCATCAGTTTCATATAGTTCTTTTTGGACACTGAAAAACTCACATGGCATTATTCTTTCACTCTGTCCATGGTGGTGATAAGCTACACAACCACAGCTGCCCTGGGGCACACTGAAGCGGGGCAACCAGTATGTGCCATCGGCCCCTCTGACCACCACCAACCATTCACATACTCACCAGACATACAAGGCAATGTGGATGTGTCTTGTCTAAGGACTCAACAGGATTTTGGCACTTTACAGCCACCCCACTGAGGCACCTGTGGTTCCCAGAGGTTTTGCTTCCCTGTACTAACCAGGGCCTATCCTGCTTAGCTTCTGAGATCTAACAGGATCGGACTTTCCCATGCAGTAAAACAATACTGAGTGTGAGCTGGGGATGGGTGTGTCCCTGATGTGATGGGTGCTCCTGAGGCTTCTACTGTTTCCTCTCTGTCTAGAAGCCTCTGTGATGGTTTGTGCGTGTGTCACCATTAGGACTGTTTATATACTTTGTCAGAAGATCTTATCTGACTTTTCAGACTCTTGAGTAAAGGCTCAACTTAACCCATTCAAAATATAATCAACCCACTTAACACTATTGGATATCAATCCACTATGTCACGATCTCATCATACAAATTCTGACATCTCCTTCTGAGTATCTCCTGATTATGTGAGAGCATGCATGTGTGTGTGTGTAATCAGAGAAGAGGCAGATGAAGAGGCGTCAGACATATTAACTGACAGATGGAGGTTGATCCAACTCATTTATTACCCCAGAGGAGAATGCCACAGTGAGATTGGGCTTCATTAATTTCAGATTTAGTTTTCATTTCAAGCTGTTGCGCCCTGAGATAAATAAAATGGTGCATTATGTTTTTGCCAAGATATTTCTTTTTTGTTTTCCTCTGATAGAAGGAGTGAAAAGAAGGGAGGCATAAGTTCCGTGTGGCTGGGGTAGTATATAAATACAGGCTCGCCTAGAGGAAAATAACACCTCAACGGTTGATGAGGTGAAATGGGATGACTGTAATTTCTCAGCTCAGCTTTAAAGGCTCCCACACAGATGGCTCATTTATCCCTGGGAGTCCTCGGGCACACATAGCAAAACTTTTTCTGCAGTTATTCTAACATAGCGTGTTTACTCTCTACAATTTACTCATCTCTTTCTTTTGTCCCTTTGTCTTACAGCCTATTCTCCTGAGGATGGAACAGAGCACAGTGTCGACACAGAGGAAGCTCAAGCTGAAGTCCAGGCCCCGGACCCTCAGGACGATCATTCCACAAAAGAAGAGTTTGATAAACAGAGTGAAGGCCCAGTCAAGAACCAAGCATGTGATCGTGAATCTGCTGGAGGAGCAGAGCTCTCTGGACAGGACATGGACAGTGAATCACATGTGAGCGAGACGAGTGATCGTCTGTCAGACTTTGAGAGTCCCCCCAGAAAACATGAGCTGGTTACAGCACCTTTAAATGGAGGCACAAAGACCCCCCCTATAGGCATGGATACTCTGGAACAGATGAAGGCAATCTACTCCAGCTTCCTAAGCACTTCTTTCTGGTCGCCCCTGAACTTGAATTTGACACAGTCCCCAGCACAGCCAGCCCCAGCTCCCACTGAAAAGCCCACCCGCAGCAACAGCACTAGCAGCAGTAGCAGCAGCAGTAGTTATGACTGGCACCAGTCCGCTGTGGCAAAAACATTACAGCAACAGCCTTCTCAAAGTCACCACAGCACTCAGGCTGAGCCCAGTCTGTTTAGTACAGTCCAGCTTCACAGGCAGAACCCCAAGTTGTTTGGATCCTTGTTTACAGGAGCTAGTAAATTCCGATGTAAGGGCTGCAGTGGTGCTTATGATACTCTAGTGGAACTTACAGTGCACATGAATGAGACAGGCCATTACAGAGATGACAACCAGGACAAAGCAGGCCCTGGATCCAAGCGCTGGTCCAAGCCCCGCAAACGCTCTCTGCTGGAAATGGAAGGGAAGGAAGATGCAGAAAAAGTCCTTAAGTGCATGTACTGTGGTCACTCATTTGAATCTCTCCAAGATTTGAGTGTCCACATGATAAAGACCAAACATTACCAGAAAGTGCCCTTAAAGGAGCCCATGGCCCCTGTGGCAGCCAAAATGATTTCTAATAAGAAAAGAGGATTTGTTGGTTTGGATATGACCTCTTCTCGAGTTAAAGAAGAATCTAAATCAAAAGCAGAGCATATGGAATCCTCACAAAAATCTTCCTCTTCAGTCTCTACTCCTTCTAATAACCGCTATGGTCACCAGAACGGTGCAAGCTACGCCTGGCAGTTTGAATCAAACAAATTACAAATTCTGAAGTGCATGGAGTGTGGGAGCTCACATAACACTCTACAAGAACTTAGAAGTCACATGATGGTGACAGGGCATTTCTTAAGGGTGACTAGTTCAGTTGGAAAGAAAGTTAAATCACTCCCGGAAGCCACCTCTCCAAATCCTGCTCGGGTCACAAGTCCCACTGAACATAGGGTCCAATCTGTACCCCTTGCTCCAACCGCCTTTTCCCCCACACCCCTTCAATCTCCTTCCGCTTCGTCTCCTCCACTCTTAGAAGTTAAAAAAGAGGAGATGGAAGAAGAATGCACTAAACCAGAAACTGACTCTAAAGAAAAGATTATTTCAGTCATGGTTGGAAAGGAAGAGACTGTAGAGAAAGAGGAAAAATTTGATATTTCAAAGTATAGTTACCTTACAGAAGAAGACTTAAATGAGACTCCCAAAGGGGGTGTAGATATTCTTAAGTCATTAGAAAACACTGTTACCTCAGCTATCAACAAAGCCCAGAGTGGAAATCCAAGCTGGGGTGGCTACCCAAGCATACATGCAGCTTACCAGTTCCCCAGTGCCCTTAAACTCCAGCATAGTAGCCTAGACAAGAACTCCCCAATAAAGTTTTTGTTTAATGGAAGTAGCACATTACCATCTATTGCCAAGAACCAGCCCCTCATTTCTCCTCTTTCTACACAGTCCTCTCCTTTCTCCAACAACTTCCAAGCAATGGAAGACCTAGTGAAAAAAGTGTCTGAGAAAGTAGCCAAGGTAGAGCAGAGAGTGAAGCAGTTGTCACCAAAGCTGGAAAACAATCACTCTCCCTGTAGTAGTGAAACTGGAGACTCACACAAAGGTGGGGAGTCTCCTGGGGAGTGGAGGGCGGTCACTCCAGCCAATAGTGACAAGGGAAGCCATAGCGACCGAGCATCCCCAGTAACTGAACCCAAGAGAGACACAGAGGCAAAGTCCCCTATGACTTCTACTCTCAAAAGCAGCACAGCAATTATCACCGGCCACGCTCCTCCTGAACAGCCTTTTGTAAACCCTTTAAGTGCACTTCAGTCCGTCATGAACATTCATTTAGGGAAGGCAGCCAAACCCTCATTGCCAAACCAAGATCCCCTGAGTCTTCTCTCAAGACTTAGCCAGAGTATGGCCGAAAAAGCGGCTGTGGGTACACCCCCCTCTTACACAAGAAAATACGAAAGCCTGGCTGACAATAGCATCTGTCTACCCAATGATGACCAACCTATGGACCTTACTAAAGGAAAGAGTGGCAGAAATTCCTTCTCATGTCCAACCCCCTCAACTCCTTCCTCTACTGCCTCTTCCCTCTCGCCTTCTTCCCACGTCACGCCAGCCAAGCTAACCGTAGTATCCCCATACACTTCAAGCAGCCCTCTCCATGAAAACGCTCTGTCAGATATCTCGGACATGCTCAGAAATCTTACGCAATCCAGCCATGTCTCCAAACCACCCTCCCGCTTACGGATCCCTGAAAAGGTGGAGCTTGTGGGAAGTACCCCAGATGAAGACGATCCATCTCTCCACAGTCACAAGCGCAAAGGTCGGCACTCAAATTGGAATCCCCAGCACTTACTACTCCTACAGGCCCAGTTTGCTTCAAGTCTTCGGCAAACGTCTGACGGAAAGTACATCATCAATGACTTAAGCCCGCAAGAAAGAATGCATGTGTCTCGCTTCACTGGTCTTTCAATGACCACAATAAGTCACTGGTTAGCCAATGTTAAATACCAACTTAGGCGGACAGGACGGACCAAATTCCTCAAGAATCTGGATTCTGGTCAGCCTATGTTTTTCTGTAGTGACTGTGCTTCACAAATTCGGACCCCGGCAGCGTACTTGTGCCACCTGGAAGCTCACTTGGGGTTTAAGATTAGAGACTTGGCGAAAATGTCCCCCAAACAGACTGCAAGAGACTCTCACGCACTCACTGACAAACTGGTACCCCTGGAGTCCTTTCTTTCAGCGCAGTCACTGGACGAATGCAGCACCAACGGGGCAGTGTACCGCTGCCAGCTCTGCGTCCGTAAATTTGCCACAAAGCACGCCATCAAGCTTCACCTCAGCAAGAGCCACGGGAAGTCTCCAGAGGACCATCTGCTGTTTGTGTGTGAGCTCGACAAACACTAAAGTGCTCCAGAAAGAGAAATACTAGATCTCCGTAGAGTGATTGACAAAGACTCTATTTAAGGTTTTTAAACGTAAAGTGTGATCATGCACGATGCCACAAACTGCTGGTCCAATGACAGTACAGTGTGTTTACATATGTGCAGCCTGTTCGCATTTCTCAGTTCTCTGTATTTCAAAAAAAGAAACTATTTTCACTGTCAAATATCTTGTAGGTGCGAGACGTCCTGCTTGGTGTCAGCTTTGTTGTTCCCTCACAACATTTCTTCTCTTATCGTAGGCTGAAACCAGTGAATCTCTTGTTATAAAGACCAGCTAAAACTTGAACTATTTTATGTTAATTTATTGTGATTTTTTTCTAGTAGACTGCATGTTCTATTGCATTTGTACAGTCTTGTCCAGTCAAAATTTCAAAACCTTTTCAACAGCCCGATCATGGCCAAACACCTGGGAGAGCGTTGAGAAAATGATTTGCCACTATTTGTCTATATAGTTTCTATCTCTTTTTGCTGATTGTAAAAGCTGCCTTGTTCTTTATCACTAAGGGGTTCTCCCAATCCAGGTTTATGTAAAAATGTACATATAAAGTGTATACGCGTACAACTTAATGTTTAAATTATGCATATTTTACTTGTTATATTTCCTAATTTAAAAGGATGACTATCCACTGGTGCAGAACCTTTCAAGAAGATGACAAAGGACATTGTTTTGCACAATAGTTTTATAAATGTTATTTGATATAAAAAACACAAATATGTTAATGCCTTGTGCTTCTATGATTAAATTGAATTAACTGCTGCAAAAAATATTTTGTTGGTTTGGTTATTTTCAAAAAGAAAAGAAAAGTATTTTTTGGCAAACAAACTGTTAAGAGTTACAAATCCATATTCTTCCATTCACTTGTCTCCAGTCCCAGAAATTGTCTGAATGTTGTGCTGCCTGTGTGTCGTTGGGGGAGAGGGCTCGAGAGGTGCGAGCCGTGCCACTGCCTGCAAGGCGTCTGGCAGGTGGTGTGTGCTGCATGTAAACCACCAGATGTTTCTGAAACGAGCCACTGGAGGAGGAGGAGGCGGGCGGGCCGCAACAGCAGGCTGAGTGGGCTGATTACCACGGGGGCTTGGATGCCATCAGGAGCCTTGGGCACAGGCAGCAGATCTGGCACACACCTGGACTCAAGAGTGTCCCATGGAAAAAATAAAGGGGATCCTATATATGTGCACAGAGACGAGCTGACAGTGGTGCAGAATGCACCGACAGGTGCTATTCCCTCAAAGCAGACTCTTGGATCTAACAATATTACTGGCAGGTGTTGATGCTATCAGATTAGTCACAATTCAGGCTTGGTGCCATGTAATGAGAAAGTTTTTTTATGGTTTGCAATGAACATTATGAAAAAGTGTGTTCACAGACACACTCGCTCCTCAAATAATCTCCACTTTAACTTATTCGTCTTTAAGGCTGCCTTAGGACACCGTGTTCTTTCTGTTTGATGTTCCCAGGCTTTGCTTGTCATGACTGACTGACTGAGTGACTTGGGCCAAGGGAAGTTATCTGGTTGCTATAGTGACGGCCATTTGGCCAGCCTCTAACCCATGCTCACTCACTCAACAGAGGACAGCTCGAGTGCAGCATACCCATTTACTCCCTTAAATCTCATCATCTCGCTTCAGTTCCTCCCACCCGGGAACAGATTAATTAACACACACACACTGTGTCCTGACCCCGTCTTCTCACACAAACTCATTACCGCCTCAGACTGCTTGCGGCCCACCGACGTTTAGGATACATTGGCCTAACGTTGTGGGAGAGCCCAGTGATGACTCACATCTGACAAGCAGAATAAAGCCCTTAACAATAGATGATAATTGAAAGATGGGTTTTAGACCGGTAGCCATTGATAATGCAAATGAAAAAGGCTTTGCTGCTTTATTGAATCTCTGGTGAGTTTTCTGAGCTCCCTCTGCTCGCCCTGTTTAAAACATTTCTCACACGTGATCATCCTTCACCCCTGTTCTGTAGGCCTGTGTGTTGATGAACACTATGGGCTCTGTGATAGACTCGGGGTGAACATGGCTGGGGGCGTTAATGAGATAGTTGACACTTTTGGGGTTAATGAGGGGCTGGAGGGAGAGGACTAAATGATTGGACTTCTGCTTGAATGAGCTTTATCGTGGCTGTTTTAGGAGCACAGAGGACAAGCTTATGATCTGCAGAAGCCAATTATGAAGCATGAAAAGTGCAAGTCCCCTCAATTGTATTTTTCCATGATTTGAAGCGCAGAGTAGATGTGTTGTCTATTGTTCTTTGTCTTCACTCTCTTTGAGGGCTGTAGTTCTTGACGCTGCTTCGCCTCAGTGCTCCTAAAACAAAGTCAGCAGTGAAAGGGGTGAAGGAGGTGGACAAGAGCGGGGAAGAGTCCCTCTCTCCTCCGCAGCACCGCACACAGATCTCCCATCAGCTCTTGTCATCCCTCTAATGAATATCAGTTAAATTGCTCTGTGGATCTGAGGAGTTTGGATGTCAATGTGATTTGTGTGAGTGCGGTGGATAGAGGGGTGCAGACTAATGAAAGGCGAGTCGAGGCTGACAGAGTGATGAGCATCAAGCCCATCAGACCAATCACAGCACAGCACTTGACAGCACGGACAGACAGACAGCAGGGCCGCAGAGACTATGCATTTAGGAAAACAAAATGGCTGCCAAAATAGTGGTAGACGTTGTTATAGAATGATGTATATCGCTCCTGTCTTTGCAGGCTCTCACTGTCAGGTGAACTCAGGTATTTGAGGATGTCGGGATTGGTGATTTCACAGCAATTATTTTGTTATGGTGGAGTGTGACCTACAGGTAAAGAAAGCAACACTAGCTCTGCATCTTATATTCTAGTTAATACAGTACTTCAAAGCTGCCGGAGACAGTGGGAATTAAATGAGTTGGGATACTTAACATTTTGCTTTCCCCAATAAAATGAGTCCGTGATCAAATCAGACCACATTATGTATTTCTCTTAATAGAAAACATTGTAACACTCTCATCCTGCTAACATATATGGGTATGTAAATGTATACATTTCTTGCACTGGAATATACAGTATCTTATACTTGCTTCTTTATTCTAAAGTCAGAGATGTTACACTTAACTCTTGCTTCTTATCACACTAAAGTTGGACATTTTAAATGTTTGCTTCTTATATATTTTCTTTGATTTTAGTATGGAGGGTTAGTTCACTTATCTTGTGCTGTGTTCTCCTCATTCCTACTGTTCTGTAACTGGGGATGCTAAACTGAAATATTGAAACTTATAAGAAAGAACCATGTGAAGCTGAAAGTTGATTGGCTGAGTGAGTATGGTCCTGTCTTTTTCACTTTTATGCCTGAAAAATCAGCCAAAAATACATGCATCTAAAAAGTGATAGAACCACAGCAGAGAACTATAGATTCCTTTCACATATAGGTAATTTTTTTTGGAGTTTGAAAATTAGGCACCCCAGCTTTAAGACACAGCATCTATTGTTTGAGCTTTCGCACTGCGATGATGTGATGTCCTCTGACAGCAATGGAGTCATGTAGAGTCAAGTTAGCCTCACTGCAGACCTCTGATCCCTGTTTACATAAATGGGAGGAGCTGCTCGTCTCTAGTTCATTACGAAGCCTAAGAGGCCTCGCCATGCATTCCAAAATGTCCTCTGAAAGCGCCGTGCAGATGGACCAAATATACACACGCGTCGGCAACAAACAGATGGAGAGGAAGAGGATGCGGCGAGTTTCAGGTGGTCTCTGCTAATGTACTGTCACTGGGGAATGGTGCGTTTCGTAGGCTCCTTGTTGCCGAGCGAGCTCCAGCCTCAAATAGCTGTCAGAGGTGTTTTGGTGTGATAGCTGACAGATTTGCTAAAGACACTCGTCTGAGGGCAACTCTTCTATATATCGTTAGTTTAATGCACAATGACATGACCAATTATAGCCAGCTCCATGCTCAAATAGCATGTCAAAACCTGTGTATCAATCCATTAGATCCTGTCTCCCATCACATTAAGTGGTACCTTTAGCTATCTGTTCGCCACATAAGGTAAAAATGCTGACGGAATGAGATTGCAGCTTTTTCGCTCCACTTTCTCAGAGCTGATGTCTGAGGAGGCTCTCTCTTCGTCTCATCTTTTCTTCTATGTCACTCTCTGTCTTTTTTTTTGCTAACAGCTCCAAGTGCATAAACAATACATCTCGATAATGGCCTGCATTGTTTACTTAGCTCTGAAAATGTATTTGCGCAAAACTCTAAAATGCATCTAGCGCGAATCAGTCACTGGGTGTAGAGCCTTGTTGACACAGGGGTGCTCTCCAAACGGCAGAAGTGTCATAACAACATCATACATCAGCGTATCAATTGGAATAAAAGGATGTGATAGCGAGATGGGTGGGTACGGGCCAGTTGTTGGGAGCTCTGGCTGTTGGGAGGAGCCTGGTGGTGATTTAGTGCGGCTGCCCATCCTGTCCTTGTGGTGAGGTCATGTACCCCCAGGCCCTGGCACACAGCATGAAGCTCAGACAGACCTGGCATCTCCTCTGGCACCACGCCTGGCAACGTGACTGGCAACATGGACACATACTGCGGCCACCTTGATGGATTCTCTGCTTGTCACTTTTATGAAATCACTTTTTGATTTGTTGACATGTTTTTCTCTCGTGTGATAGAGTAGTTGTTGGTTGGTTAAAACTGCAATAGTGATTAAATAGACAATGACAACAGATTAACTGAAAATGTTGGTCCCGAAAACAGGTATGCAGCTACTGTCTTATTAGTCAGCTGGCATTACAGGGAACTTTTTAAACAATTTATTTAGAGAGGAAAACCAGAATTTTATGTTGCTGATTCCCCCCCTAACTCAGGCGATTACGTCTGTGTAGTTTCGCCCTCGCCACTTCTGATTGGATAAGCCTCTTCGGACGCTTCCTGGCTGTTTCATCAGCTCATCCTACGACCGAATCAAAGATGGATCACTGTTA